GTTTTCTTTTATTGTCGCTTCGACAGTCATAATCTTCTATTCATTCGACTACCAAAACAAACTAGATAAGAAAGTCTTATCGTATAATTTGCTTCGAAACGAACATCTTTCATAGCGCTGCATGTGTTCAGAATACTGTTTGTATAGTTCACGCGTCTGTAGTTACTAAGATGAAATTCCACCGACGGGTATATCACTTTGCGAACTACTTCTACTAAATTCCCATGAAAGGACGTGATGTATGTAGCCTACAAAGCAAAGATGATACTAAGCTCATATCACTTTTTCGGATTTCTTCAATTAGAAACATCATTATGTACAATGTGCATTAGAACTTTTTGTGTACGTTCTTGAGCTACCATCTNCTACAAAAGATTTTAGAACAGATAAAGAAAAATATCTTCTTTGTAAAGAGGAAGGAACAAGCCCAGGCTCAGCGAATAAAACGAAATTCACCCTCAAATCCGAATTTCCCGACGTCAGAAACCCTTCGGTCTACTCTGACAATGGATGTTAATAAGTCGTGGCTAGTTAATGAAAAACTAATAATTAATTAATCAACACCAACCTCGGATTCGAGATCCTCGACCTCGATTACCCTACTAGTAGTCAGTTTCTGGTTGCTATAGGTAAATTTCATTGATTTAAGAAATGCTGATTTCTGATTGGATAGGACAGACAAACTTTAAGCTTTTCGAGCCCGGGATTTAACCGCTGTATAACCCTTTCTTTCAGAAAAGGGAACTATTTTGATCATCGTCAACTGATTCATTTGAATAGTTTTTCCTCGGCGAAATCAAGATTTGTAGTTACCTCTTATATCCGTACCAACTAAGAAGATAGAACATTTGTAGTTTTGCGATATGTATGCTGATTCGAATGATCCGAGAGTAGTTACGTCCTACAGTAATATTGGAGTTGTTTACCAATACCAGGAAGACTATCCAAAAGCATTAGAATATCACATTCGTGCACTTGAAACGCGATTGAAACCTTTGCCAGACAGTCATCAAGAGCAAGCTGCATCCTATACTAATATAGGTGATGTTTATATATCGATTGATCTTCGATGATAATTATCAATATACATTGATGTTGAAAGCCGAAATCAAGATTACAACAAATATGAATGGAAGAACAGAGTGTTGTCAGTTGACGTTCACAGTAGTTAGAGAAAATAACGATGAAGAAGACAAAGAAACGTTTCTTTTTCTTGTTCGACATTTGATATAATTGTTCTACTTCTTAATAAAGTGAAGCAAAAACTCTTACATTAACATCGAAATAGAACGTAAAATAGGTCATTCAAAAAGAAAATAGAGCATAAATTGACACTGTCTTTTGGACTTGTTTGTTCTCTTCTATGAAGATAAGAACATTCTTTTTCTGTTGTCTCTCTCTCAGAATACGATAAATAAAGTAACTAGCAGCTGCATAGATTTCATAAGTTTATTGATGAAATACGAGATGTCTAACAAATATTGTAAGTACCTCGTTAAACGACTCAATTCGTAATGATGATTTTCTTCTTCAAATAGTTTTAACGATAATTCTGGTTTGGATATCACGTTTGATTATTGTTGCATCGAATAGTCTCTATACCTAATAATTTCAGAAAAAGAAACAGACAAGATTTTCACTTCTTTTCTAGGAGATACATGTGTAACACCATACGGTCCAGTGACTCGATTTGGAACATATTTTATGCCAACCTTTGTGGCAACGGGCGATTTCAATAATGATAATCAGTTAGATATAGCAGTTTCAGATTATAATGGTATGGTTAGTGTTTTACTTGGGAATGGTGATGGCACATTTCAAAATCAAATATATGTTTCTATAGATGGCGATGCTTTGATCTTTATTGCAACTGCTGATTTCAATAATGATAAGAATTTAGATTTAGTTGTAGCTAGTCAAGATAACTTAAGAAATTGTGTCTATATTTTACTTGGCAATGGAAATGGTACATTTTCAACTCGTTATGAATACACAGTTGGTGTTGGACCATCTTCAGTAGCAATTGGAGATTTGAATGAGGATACGAAATTAGATTTAGTTGTAACTAACGCTTATAATAATAGTGTTAGTATACTTTTTGGAGTTGGAAATGGTACATTTATTAATCAAAAAATGTATACAGTTAGCTCGAGTCCATCTTTTGCCACTATTGGTGATTTCAATAATGATAAGAAATTGGATTTAGCAATAACTCTGAGCAATCAAGCACAAGTTAGCATTTGGCTTGGCAATGGCAACGGTACTTTTCGTCGTCGAACAAATTATAAAGTCGGTTCGCAACCAATTTTTATCGCTGTAGCAGATTTCAATGAGGATAATAAATTAGATCTAGTTGTTGCCAACTATAATCAAAGCAATGTTAGTGTTCTACTCGGTGTTGGTGGTGGAATATTTCGAAAACAAAAAACATACGCAACTGGTGCAAATCCAAATTCAGTGGCTGTCGGTGATTATAACAGCGATGGATATTTGGATTTAGCAGTGGTTAATGAAAACGAAAATAACCTATGCATTCTATTCGGCAATGGATATGGAATTTTTCATCAGTCAGATAAATATATGACTGGTTCATGGCCAAGATCAGTCGTATCAGGTCATTTCAGTAACGATAACAATTTAGATCTAGTAGTGGCGACTTATTCTGAGGCTAATATTTTGATATTACTCGGTAACGGCGATGGAACTTTTCCGAAACCAACTGTTTTTCCAACTGGTACTGGTCCAGTCTCTGTGGCTGTTGGTGATTTCGATAGGAATAAAAAATTAGATTTAGTTGTGGCTAATGCTGGTAATAAAAGTGTTAGTATTCTACGTAGTAATGGAAATGGCACATTTCAAAAGGATAGAAGATTTTCAGTTCATTCCAGTCCATCCTGTGTGATCACTGCTGATTTCAATAATGATCAAAACTTAGATGTAGTTGTTACTTTTACTAAGACAAATAAAGTTGGTGTTCTACTTGGTCATGGCAATGGAACATTTCATAACGAAAAAACCTTTGGAGTTGGTGCAGGCCCAACTTCTGTAGTCGCAGGCGATTTCAATAATGATCGTAATTTAGATTTAGCCGTAGCGAATTGTTATGATCGCTCTGCCAGTATTCTAATTGGTAATGGTGATGGTACCTTCAAAGAACAAGTCAGTCTTTGGGCTGGTGGTGGTTCATGTTCAGTGACTGCAGGTGATTTCAATAATGATCGCAATTTAGATTTTGCTGTGGCTACTTTTGCTGACAACACAGTTAATGTTTACCTTGGCCATGGTGATGGAACATTTGGAGGGGTAAAGACATACACGACTGGAAATGTTCCAGAGTCAGTAGCTGTTGGTGATTTCAATAATGATCACAATTTAGATATTGTCACAGCTGATAATGGACAAAATGACGTCGGAATTCTATTTGGTGATGGTAAAGGTTCTTTTTCCGGTGTCCAATCAATTGGAGGTCTTTTTGGTCCCATTTTTGTTACTGTTGGTGATTTGAACGATGATAAAAATTTAGATCTAGTAGTTGTATTAGAGACTGACACGACTATTCAAGTTGTTTTAGGAAATGGTAACGGAACGTTTCGTGACGCAGTACGTTATACTACTGGCCATGGCTCCAAATCTGCTGCAGTAGGGCATTTCAACTTGGACAATAAACAAGATCTAGTAGTGGTCAATTCGGGAGATGACGATATAGCCATTCTTCTTAATTCATGCTCTTGACTGAAAAATATCACTTTTTGTTTGCATAATACGGTTTTTATTTTGTCTGTGTGTATGAAAAGGTGGTGATGGTGCTGCAGACATTATTGATCCACGTGTCATTCATTGTTTTTTCAAATTCAAATCACTATTTTGAAATAAGAAGAAAAAATATGACCACTATCGAGTATTATTTCTATTCTAAAATAATCTCATTGAATATACGTGAGATAAGAACGATGAAAGAATAGAATAAAAACACACCAATTGTTCTCTTCGAACACTTCGAATACGCAAATGTATTTTAATCAAGAATGAAATGAAAATGTTAATAATCGAAGATTTTTTTTAAGTCAACGATTTCATATGGAAAAATCAGAAGTCCATCAGAGAGCACTTTCTGAAATTACAGAGATAGATTTAGATTGTTTTTGATAATCTGTTGAAATTTAGAGCACAAAAAATGTTTCTATTGATTTTCTATTGAGAAATTCATTTATTCGCAACTGTCTGTCAATTTTCTTTGTGAAGAGAAATGAGTGAAAAGTCTCTATGAATGTCATATTGTTTATCAGAATAAAAAAAACTTGTTAATGTGATAATATAAATTCTTTCATATGTATAGAATACAAGTGCAAAGCGAGCTTCTTCGAGTAGCTGCCTATTTACAGTTATAATATAAATAGATGTTCATTACCATATATCTATACATATTTATATAGATCTAGAAATAGATTTAAAGATAAATAAATATAAATAAATATACAGTACATATATCCATAAAAAGATGTATATGTCGCAGTACAAATTAAAATTCAGGACAATTTAAAATTGTCCTAGGAATAATTAAAATTTTTACACAGACATTTTAGTTTTTCCTAGGCAAGTCTAGGACAATTTTAAATTGTCCTGAATTTTAATTTTTCCTGCGACATATATACCCTTATATATGTTGGTTCAGGAATATAGGAATAGATTTCGTTTCATTTATTCCCTTTTCTGAACGAAAGGATTATCCAGCGTTAAAAGCATCGACTTGAAATGCAAAAAGTTTGTCTGTCCTATCCAATCAGAATGCAGCATTTTATAAACTACTGAAAATTGAATGATGGCCATCTGGAAATGATCTATCTAAGGTAATCGACGTCGAGGATCTCGAATCTGATGTTACTGTCCATTCCACAAGTAAATGGAGAAAAGTGTTTGATGGATATCTCCATAACGAAGGGAGATAGAGAGATGGTGTTTTAAGTATTAGAAAGAGTGAGTG